GGGCTTGTTTGGGGATATTGTCAGGCATACGAGGTTAGCAGCGACTTAAGGGGGAAAGGGCTTCGGGGTGCATACTTCCAGGCATTGAGGGCTGCAAGCCTTAAACCCCAATGCCCAAAATCTCACATTGTTGCGACAACTATCGCAGAACCCTGCTGGACAAACAAATCTAGCTTCTCAAAACAAAGAGGGTTTAGGGTTCCCTAGGGACGTGAGGGGTATACGGAGCTTATCAAGGTTGATGTTGTTCTTACTTGGGATTCTGTCGGGATGATCTTTGAGAAATGCCCATAGAGGGTTCCATGAAGTGCGGGCATATCCGAATGATACTTGCAATGACAAACCAGACAATAGAGGAGAGCTTCTCAAAAATGACTCTATTATATCATCCTCAACCCTAAACCCCAAATCCTAAACCCTAAACCCCTTAACCCCTAAACCCATGTAGTCACAACTTCATCCCAAGGGTTCCTAGGACCTCTAGGAGCCCCACTACCCAAGGGCTCCAATGTAGTTCCTTTTTGGATTCGTTGTGGTTTTTGGGTAAGGAATTATAATATACTACCCAAAAAGGAACTACATAGGATGGTCCGGGTAGACCCTAAACTCCCTAAACCCTATACCCTTTCTCGGCAGGCCCCCCCCAAATCATATTTCTTTCCTGAGAGGCGAGTGGGTTGCCGCAGTGCTGTGGCCGTGCGAAGGCTCCTGCAAGGTTCCAGGCTGTTAGGGTTTAGGGTTTGGGGTTTAGGGTTTAGGATTTGAGGTTAGGGTTTAATTTAGGGTTCAGGGTTTAGGGTTTAGCACGTGGACTTGTGTATTTTTGTTTTCGGAATGAAAGCTTAAGATTTCCAGGAGTTGCTTTCCCAGCCCCACAGCTCTGTTGAAAAGGGTTGGCACATTTCACATTACCATGGTTTGGGATTAGGATGTGCTGTAGTCTTGCAATAGTACTCCTGTTCTGAAATATTGTTGTCAGGGCATATTTAGTAGTGAAATATATATATATATATGCATTAAATTACCATTTCTTGATGTTCATTCTTTTCCCTAAACCCTAAACCCTAAACCCTGAACCCTATTTTCCATTCTGTTTCATTTTAAGTATTTGTACTGGCTGCACTCATTGCCTAGCTGCAGGGTTCCTCAAGATCCAACGCCTCTGCCTGGTTTTTGGGGCACAACAGATAATAAGGGTTTAGGGTTTAGGGCTTAGGGTTTAGGATTTAGGGTTTCATTTTCCATTTTCTTGTCCATTTGATTCTCCATTTTTTGGGGTAATATTGGGTACCATACTGCAACAAGCTGTGTCAGTCACGATAGCCTACCGACAATGCACCCATCCTTGACCCAAGTGCGATCGCCGCATGGCTTGAGGTTTAAGGCTTGAAGCATCTTTGCAGGCAAGAAGCTTCAAAACTGAACATCTTCCAAGCCGAAGGCGCGTGTGTGCGAGAGAGAGAGGGAGAGTGAGAGACTCGAAATTTGGCGGCCCACTTGTTTTGCGGCACTTTCTTCTACGTACTATCAAGTTTGCGGCATGGTCCTGAGAAATTGCTCTGGCACACCTTCTCTTCTAGGTAGGCGTACCACGAAACTCTGTGATGCACCATGGCAGCTAATCATGGACGAAACTCAATACAGCCCTGTCGCAACCTGAGTGTTTCTTTACAAAGGACGCCTCAACACAGAAAATAAAGCAAACGTTTAGAAGCCATATGTCTTAACTGGTGTTACGCATTATCTAGTAACCAGGTGTGGGTATCTTGCCCTAGCCCGCTTCCCCGACCGTACGTTTTGGGATTGAAGGTTCGAAGTCTAAGTCAGTAATGCACTCCAACATGGTCATCCTCCAACCTAGCAATCCATCTCTCCCATCATCGAAAACACTACCTGGCGTGTGACATGGCAGTCTTGCCTCCGTCTTCACCTCCAGCTTCACTTCCTTTTTGACCTCCTGTTTCACCTTTCCTGGCTCCTCCTCCTTGACCCCTTTTTTCACGTGCTGCTTTACCTGCTCAAGCACTTCTGACTTGACCTCGTGCTTCACTTCCTTCTGTTTGTGCTTCTGCACTTCGTCTTTGATGCTGCCCTGTGCATTCCTGTTGGCCTCTCCTCTCATCTCTTGCTTCGCATGTTTCATCAGGTGTTCATCCACCTGGTCGGTAAGCGAAGGAGGCACCTCTTGCTTTGCTGCCCTCGTTGAATTCGGGCCGTCTGCATTGGATGCATGCTCTTCCTTGCTTGCCTGCCCGGTGGCCCCATTGCATCTCTCATGCTTGACTCCTGCATCCCTTTCCTTCTTGACCTCAGGGGCCAGGGCTTCTCTCTATCCTAATTGTCCGAATTGTACAAAAGCAGGGATCGCATTCGCTTCTTAAGGAAGAACTGGACCCTGACAAAAACATGACCACCTCTGCACTGAGATCGCCAACAACCCTATCACAACGACAACACAATATCTTATCCACTACTATAGCACACGCCCACATCTTCGGTCTAAAGTACGTTATGATACTTGAATATATCACTGGGAGCTATTGAGTGCCACGTATGGGTGGGCGAGGTGTGTTTCAGAACAGGGGGGACGGGGGCGGCCTCCTCTTCCATGATTTCTTGCTTAACCTCCGCTGTTCCACCACTTACCACATCTTTGATCTCCTTCTTCAGCTCCTTGCCAGGCTGCTCTTTTCATGGGTTTTGGGCGTCCGCTAAAACCTCAACCCTCTAAGCCCTCAAATCATGGACAGGCCTCATCAAACATCTCAACCCAAGGTTTAGGGTTTAGGGTTTAGGGTTTAGGGCTTAGGGTTTAGGGTTTAGGGTTGCATCTAAACCCAAGAGCCCTAAGCTCACAGATATCTCCCAAAATGCAAGCCCACGGCAGCATAGCGCTGGATGTAGGACACAACTCAAACCGAGAGGCGCAGTCGACAACCGGTCATCATAATACATCCTGATGCCTTAGGTGGACCCCCCACCCAGTAATAGTGACTATAAGGGATAATAGGGATTATACTAGGGCCCTCTTATATTCTTATTATACCACTATTACAGGGTGGGAGGTCCTCCTAAAATGATACCAAACTGCGAACTGTGAACCTTAAGTAGGGAACCATTCAACGGCAGCACCTGAACTTCACAATCCTCGTCTAATATCAATCTCCTCAAGTCCTAACTCTGATCCTCCGTAACTTCAGACGACTAAATCCTGACACCGAAGCCCTCTTGTCTTCAGACTCTCTAATCCTGATCCCAAATCCCGGACTTCCAGACCAAATTAAACCCTAAAGTCCGAAGCCCCTAGGATAGTAGTTTCCATTTTCTTTTCCATTATCCCAATATAGCCGCAATATATACCCTATAATATAATAGTTTCCATCTGATCCCCGAAGCCCCAACAACCTGAATCGCAGAACTCCATCGGCCTTCGGCTTCCTTGGCTTTGCTAAGTTCACGGAAAGTACCTGGACCTCGGTGTAGGTTTTTAGGGTGTAGGATTTAGGGTTGGGGGAGTGGAGTTTGAGGTGTGGAGCTTTCTGGGTTTAAGGCTTAGGGTCGAGGGTTGTCCCCTAAACCCTAAACCCTAAAGGGGTCTGCTTTCATCAGATGCATTCCACAAAAGTCGAGACAAGACTCACATACCAATTGCAATTGATGTTTATTGCGGTGGCGACTGAAGCGCTCCCTATATGATCCAAACAACCTTATTTCGGGGTTTTGTGAGCCGATTTTAAAAATGATGAGGGAAACAATTAAAAAGGGAATCTCAAGCAGTCTGTGCCATGCCAAAAGACCCAAGTATGCAATAGTTGGCTCTTTTCTGGTTTCTAGGAATGGCTAGTTGCGGCTTGGGGAAACAAACTGTGAGTTGTGGGGCATTTTCATGTCACAGCTTCAAGCGGTAAAGCCTGAGCCCTTAACCACAAACCACAAGGTTAAAAAAACCTTCAACCCTATGCCCTGAATCCTAAGCCCTACACCCCAGACCCTTAACTTGACTCTAAGCCCTGAATCCTAAATCCTGAAGTCTACACCCCAAAACTCTACAAACTCCACAATAAAGACCACTCCATTCTGTTCCAGATACACTTAGCCTATGGCCCCACAAGAGCGAAGGGGGTCAATTGGACCCAGTAAGGCTAGGGTTTGGGTCTTAGGATTTAGAGTGTAGGTATTAATGTGTAGGGTTTGGCCGGGTAAGAAAAAATAGGCCCAAAACCCAAATGAAAGTCAGAGAGGCAACTATTATAGATACTTTGGCTGTCCAGGTGAGGCTTAGGGTCACCATCAGAAAACTTGTCTTTGCATGCCTTGAATTACATGACGTCACCCGGTCATATTACATAAGATCCCTGCAACGACATTCTGCCTTGCAAACCCTTACTATCGGAAGGGTCATGTTGAAGGTCCTGCAGTCTTAGGGTGGGGTCCTTCGATGCCTTGGAGCAAATTGCAGGACTTGCCTTCAACAAGTGCAATCTGAGGATTCGGGCTCACTTCGGACCTTCAGCCAGGCTGCCTCATCAGGCGAGGTGGCTGCGAGCGCCATCTTTGGCAACTCGCTACTTCTTGCTGGAGAAAGACAGAGGCTGCGGTGTGAACTCAAGGATGTCTCATGGGGTTGAGGGTTCGTTTTTTCGGGCCTTTAAGGCACGGTGGACTTTGAACGGGACATATACGTGTTATATGGGGCTTAAGGCTCAGGATGTAGGAATATTGGGAATACACGAGGGATGAGGGAAAAGAACACGAAAACTTTTATATAGGGTTACATGGAAGCTACCATCCCTAAGCCCTATAAACCTTAAACCCAGACTTAGGTTCCGGGTTGGCTAACTTCGACTTTGGGGCTGGTTGGCTTGCAAACCCCAAACCCTAAACCCCGTACCTCATGCTAGCGAATCCCCAAATTCCGCAGGATCCCAAACTCAGACGGTCTAGGTTTGGGGTTCAGGTCTTGGGTAAACCCTAACCCCGAAAACCCCAGCAGAAAGCGCCTCCTTTCGTGCGCCATTCTGCGGCATCCAGGCGAAGTATCTGAAGTGGCTAAGGTTGGTGCGGAATAGTGAAAGAATTTGGTTTAGGGTTTAGGGTTGAGAAGATTCCATCTGGGGTCAAGGTAATACAGGCAAGAATGCATAATCAAATGGACGGCTGAATCGAAAGGATGTGGAAACTGGAACTATGCAAAGGCTAGTTTAAGGCGTGGGGCTTGGTCGCTGAGATTTAGATTTGGAGCACTGCGCTGTAAGGCTTACCCTGGTAATATTCACAGACTTCAAATATCATTTATAGACTTTCTCCGAGGTGCTTCCCAAGCTCACCCAAACCCTTGTTCCTAGATGAGGAGTCTGGGCTGAGAGTTTCGGAATTAGGCTTTAGGAAGTTTAAGGTTCTTGCAAATCACTTCACAACCCTAAATCCAAATTTGGAACCCGTGGTCTCCCAAGTGAACTTCCTCCACATACGCTGAGGGCGTAAGGTTTTGGGAGTCCCTTTACGGGAGGAGGCTTGCCCCTAAACCGTAAGGCCCTAAAGCCTAAACCCTACACCCTGCAGCTCGAAGAAAATGAACCTCAAGGCTTCCTGCGCTCGAAACCCCAAACCCTGAACCCTGTAACTTCTTAACCCCTCATCCCCAAATTCTAAACCCGGCAACCCCCTCAGGGTTTAGGGCTTAGGGTTTAGGGCCCTAAAGCCCTAGTCCCTCCTCAGGCCTCGCACCGTACTCTCTACACTCCAACTTTAGCGTTCAGGGTCCTGCAACCCCAGTTACCTACAGTTTTATGCTTGGGTTGGACTCTGGAGCCCTTCGAAAATCTTGGTATATGTACCAGGACTTTCCTTGTACCCTTAATTGGGGATGTGCGTACTTAGGCCCTAATAGAGGGTAGGAGGAGGGTCTAGGTATGGACCTCAAAGAGGCCATAAGGGAAAGTATCTAAATATACCGGAGGCCAACCCAATCTGAATTCTACCTACCAATTATGGGGGGTAATCACTATTACTAAGCTGCAGGTACTTGCCTAAACCGCGAACCTCTGAAGCAAGCCTGCCCCTTCAGAGCAATACGAGTCGCAAAAATGTGGGTATTTCTTCGCAATCTGATAGTGATGGTAAAATTAGGGAAAAAGCATTCACACTATAGTCACACACCTCAACACTAAACTCTGGACCCTAATACTAAACCCTAAGGCCCCCAAAACCGGATTTCCATGAGTTCTGAAGTCAACGACGCCCAGTGACTTCGTCAAACGGGAGAAGATCGGAAGGAACCTTTTGGCAGTTGGGAGACGGAGAACTTTACCCTAAACCCCCCAACCTGCGTCAGCCCCAAACCTGAAGTGAGCACTTTGGAGGTTTGAAGGTGTAACACCCCCACAGTTTAGGGTTGTTTAGGGTCGGGGGTGTACTTGGGAGAGCCTAAGTTTCGGAGACTCCTTTCTTGGCAGGGGTGGAGGCGTTGATTACTAGGAGGAGTGAGTACACGGATATCGCCTGTATGTCGCAAAGCAGCATACGGTTTTGGGTTTACCTGTAACCCTAACTACCTACTGCTCTACGGATGATGCCTACTGATTAGCGAGTAATTGCTACTAAGCCCTAAACAAGCGATGTGTGTTTCCATCAATAGGTTTCTCTATTCCTGGACTCAATATTCCTGGACCCCTAAGAAGGCAGCCTAAGCCCTAAACCCCAAATTCCAAACCCTAAACCCTAGGTCAATGGGCCAAATCAATTCCAAAAGGCCACTATAGTCTACATACTTTCGGGGTCCAGGTCCTTACTATTCATTGAGGCAGGGAGCCTAAAAACGGGCCTCAAAGTGACCGCTTCCAGCAGCGTAGCACAAGGATTCATGAGAGCCCTGGATCTCCCAACGCCCTAAACAGGCCTTTGGCTAGCTGAGAATGAAGGACTGGAAGAGAAAATGGAAAGTACTATATTAGGTTATATAGGGACTAATATAGATTTAAGGATCCCTTCCTTCATTCCTAGCTAACCAAAGGCCAGTAAACTTCAAATAAGGCATAGGGTTGGGGGTTTGAAGGGTTTAGGGTTGTAAGCCCAACGCTGCAAGCACCAAAGTCCATTTGCTGAAGCCTAGAGTCTGAACCCAAAATCCGAAACCCTCAACCCAAACGGCTACTTAAACACGAAACTTCGAACCCTAAACTCTAATCGCCGAGCTCTAAAACCCCTAAATAAGCCCCAACTATGAACACTACATCATAAGCTTGAAGTATCAACTCCAAAGCCTAAACTCTAAACCCTGAACTCCAAGCCGAAAAGATCTAAACTCTCAACCTACACCAGGCGACTTATATACTCAGCGCTAGGCTCCTGTACCGCATCCCGATGCCCAGTACGAACGCACCCACGCTTTAGAGTTTTAGTTTCAAGGTTTTGGCTTAGGGTTTAGGGTTCAAGCTTTTAAGGCTTCAAGGTTTAGGGTTCCAGGGTTTTGGGATTAAAGTCTTAGGGTCAGAGTTCAGGGTTGAGTGTCCTGTCTGTTTCAAGTACATGCCTGTAATCCTATTTCCTGGTCGTCACAAGATTCAGATTGGGATTCTGTTGTGCGCGGGCGTGTGATTCTAGGCCCTATGCCTCAAATACTGAACGCCTCCCAATCACACTGCCTTCACAGACTTACACCTGCTTACTTGACCCCGACTGTTTCCCACAAAAAATGCACGCCCCCGACTCAAAACAAATGCATAGATCCTTTAATGAGAAGGTGATTTTGGCAACCCCAAATCCTGCCATTATAGCCCTGTAACGTTTACGCTGCTATAATACGGGCATTGTTGGAGGAAAGAGTTGCCTAAGCTTTCCCTTGCATTAGGCAAGCCCTAAACCTTAAACCCCTAAACCTTATGTACACCCTGACCCTGTGAACTGTTACCATCAGTCCTAGACCCCCCGTCTTCATAATCGCGTCGCCCTTGTACTGAACCCCAAGAATAAATATGTCCCTTGAGTATACACGGGCTCTTAGATGTAATGATTAAAGCACAGGGGGTGTCAGTGTGTTTCGTGTTAGGAGGAGGAGATCCATTGGGAATCCCTGTTGGGCCTCCTCTGCCTCGTCTTCATTTTCTGCCGAAGGCGGAGTAACGACCACGTCCTGCGTCGGAGCCACTATCCTATACCTACAAGCCCAAATCTCCAAATCACATGAAGGAGTAACTACCACTAAAGTGTAGGTATTCCGAGGGCACAGGTTAAACCTCTTCTGGACCCCGAAGATAGGTATATAAACTACGGGTTAGGCGTGGCTAGGAAGCCCATGCAAAAATCCCAATGGGCCATTGTTCCACGTAATCCTGGGCGCCAGGAATCCCTGATGTATTCAGATCTATGCACATGAGCCGTCTACAGTCTACAAGCACGAGGTGTTCAAGGCACCTGCGACAAAACGGCCTAAGGTGGAGGGTCCTGTGACCACAAAATACTTAAAACGTTAAATACCGGAGATTGACATGCCTGCCACCTCCCACCCTACTCTCTAAAACAAAGCCGCGGGGCTGAAATCGCATGCTCTCAACATCCCAATCCCCCGACTGTACTCCCACAATATATTCGGGTCCCTCGAATCACGCAGCTCGTGCGGGTAGTGGGCGTTCGGACAGTAGAAGCCTGCGCCACAATGCATTTGCATTGGTTTAGCATTGGTTTAGGGCTCAGAGCCACGACTTGAGGGCAAGGGTGACGTGGGCCCCTTGAGCATGACTGGATGGGGAAATTGCAACAACCGCGTGCCATACCCCCCCCCCCATCATCCTTGAATTTTCCACAACACGGAACATGCCCCACTGAAACTGGTTAAGGCCCTACACAGAAGGCATATGGTGGGCTCGTGTCCCCGAATCCCTGCAGCTATGTAAAGGTGTACTATGAATAAGTCCAGTAAGTAGAAAATGGGGAATTGGGCTTCACGTCACGTCTGACCCTGAATCATGACCCCAGTCACACATCTCGTACATCCCGATACAACCCCATCGCTCGCTCGCTCGCTCGCTCGCTCTCTCTCTCTCTCTCTCTCTCTCTCTCTCTCTTTCGAATGTTTGCCGTTTCCCTTTTCCCCACATGGATAGTTCGGCTTCTAGAGATTCTTTCTCATCATCTGCTCAAGTTGCCAAGCCATAAACCTTCAGCGTCAAGATCCTTTTCAGGTTCTCAAGCTCAAATCCCTACACTGCCCCCCAGCGCCATATCCGAATCTAGAAACCAAAAAAAATGAACCCTAAAGCCGAAGACCGTAAGCCCTGGACATCTTCAAGCCAAGGCCTACGAACGAGGGTTCGCTCTTGGATAGGGTTCTGGGTTTAGGCACTGGACACAACTGTACCTACCCAGAAACCTATTATTGGGCGTTTGGCGGAAATAACCCCTACATACCAGACTCTAAGCACTAAGACTTCAATCCTAAACCAAAGCCCCCCAATCTCTAACTCTAAGGCCAGTCTCCTAAACCCGAGCCCTGAAGTACATGAGACTTTCAATTTTTGCATTAAGCTGGAACAAATATCTCAAACACAGAGCCCTGAGCCATCTCTGAAGTGATGGCAAGGGGCCACGGCAGTTTCTCGGATAGCAGCGATCAACCTGCCGCGCTCTTACAGTGACAGTAGGGTTTAGGTTCGGGGTCGAGGGTTCGGGGCTTAGGGCTTAGCATGGTTCATAAGTAAGGGGGCCCCCATATGCCCCAACGTGCTATAGACCTTCGTAAAGGCACCCCCCCAGAACCTAAGCCTCCACACTCTGAACCCCAAACACCAAATCCCTAAACCCTAAACCCCTAAAAGCCTAAGCCCTACTCATGATCCTAAACCCACAACTTAGGCCGAAACCCAGAGCCCTGAACCTAATCTTTCCACCACGAACACGATGCGTGGCGCGCAAGTTCGGCCAGCCTTCTCACACACATGTTCACGCTTGCGGCCCAGTGCTGGCACCCAAAATCTTCAAGGCCCCCCCTTCGCACCTCGAGCATAACGAGCGCCTCTCTGCAGTTGGCACGGGACACCTCGACTTGCTTGATAACCTCAGGCCGACAAGACTCTGACATGTTCCAGAGTTTTTTTCACACTTGGGAACAGGCCAATGCGCACAGGATGGCCTCGAAGGTCACACTCTTGGGTGTTTCGATGAGGTAGAGGGGTCCTCGAACAGATGGCACCCGGAAAAAAAAAAACATTACGCAATCTAAGGTCCGTGAAGGTGGCTCAAAAGTTGCATCCGAACAACGTAGAGCTACCGGTGCAATAGATGGCACGTGGAACGCCGAAACTAGATGGCTTCCAGCAAAACACAGTAAAAGTGCAATCTTTGCACCGAGCAAAGAGCCTCAGCTTTTTTTGTCGTGCCCGAAACCCGGTGCCCCACGACCAACGACCAACTAGGTGGCGTCTCGCTCTCCGGCTCGCTCGCTCGCGCCCTCTGTCACTCCCATCTACTGGTCGCCAAACTTCGGCCTGGGCCTTGGACGGCTGCGGGTGTAAGCAAGGTTAATCTTTGACGGTGCTTTGCATGTGTGCATCATTCGTTGGAGAAACTCGTCCGGATTTCTCATCCACAGTAGCAGGTTCTTATCTCCCTCCTTCCCCGTCTGGTATCTTCTCCTTCTTCCTCCCCCCCTTTTTCGTTCCTAGATGTGCCATTGTGCTTTCTGGTGGTTTGGGGCTTGGCAGCGGAAGGCTGCAAAAATGTAGGGTCTGGGGTGTGGGTTTTTGGGCTCGGGGCTCGGGTTTGGAGACGGGGTCTTGGGTTTCGGCCATGGGGGTTGGGTTTGGGACCTGGGGTTAGCTTGTACAAATTTCGATGGCGGAGCTTAGTCGCCATGCATCGGCGAACCGGGAACGAGGGCGTGAAAGAAGCAAGCTTGCAGAGTGGATGTCGACGGCTTGTCTGTCAGAGCGAGATGGAGTATGTTGCGTTTGAGATGCCATATTATCTGCCGGTTCCACTGGAGGTCCTTAGTTATGCCATCAATGCGTGCCTCCCTCTACAAAGCACCTTAGCAGTACAAGCAGCGACGTGGTTGAAATCTTTGCAACACCCACGTCGTCCCTGCCTTCTTCATCGGTGGCCATCTTGAGGAACGCTTTGGTTACCTCCAGCAAGGCAGCTGCAAAAGTGACAAGAAGCTTACACAATTGCATGATGCATGAGCATTAGGAGGTAAAACCAGCTCATGAGGATGATGGGCCAGCAGGCGGGGCACATCAAGCAAATGGCTGGGTGCCTTCTTTGCGGCCCACTTGTTCGTCGGCTTCTCCTGCATGTCATAAACGACTGATTATAGGGTCATGGCTTAGGTTTTGCTGAACCTGTTGAAACGTTTGGCTGTAACAGAACTAGATCATAATCCTACTTGCTATCGCCAGGGTACCACCATGATGCTTAGAGATGCTTTGCCAACCCCTCTGTTTGAAGCCTTGCTTTCAATCATGACATGAGTACGGAGCATGAGTTTGCATGAGTTGAGACGCTGCTCATGCAGCCGTACGCCGTACGCATGCTCGCAGGCATGTATGATTATGTACGTATGTACGCCATGTACACAGACGAATGCCTGTGCGAATGTATGTACTCACAGAGATGCCGGACTGCACCGCACAGGACCGATGACCGGCCCACAGCTCTGCGCCTCCCTCTGCGCCTCCGAGGCTTTCTCCGGAGTTGCAGTGGAATGTTGGCGAGCTCGATCGTGGTCTGCCGGCAAGGCTCGGGATTCTGCGCGCGGATGCAAGGTACAGCAACACGATATAGCGCAGAACTCAACCCCACACCTTCTTGGCACGAGCAGTTCGGCTCTTTGCTGGGCAAGTTGAAGGGCCTTAGCTACAGAGGGATTGTGTGAGGGGAGGGTTTAAGTGCGGGAAGATTTAAAACCGGTCTTTCAAAAACGTGAGTCTCCGTACACTCTCATCGTAAGCTTATACTTGTTAGTGTGTGAAGACACGAGAGCAGTGCGTGAACGCAGTACTCACAGTGCTGCTGCTGTGTCACGGTAAATAAGTAACAGGATCCATGACCTCTAGGCCATAAACGTTAGATTTTGTGCTGCAGGCTTGTGATTAAACTTGAACCCGAAACCCTCAACCCAAAGCGAGGATAAGCTCCAGATCCTAGGTCTTGGTTTGAGGTTTGGGCTTTTTGTGGACTGCTAACCCGAACCGAGATAAAACCTGCGGAAGGCTTCGGCCTCGACATGGTGTTTGGGCACGCCAAAGATGGCAATCGAAGGCTTTCCTCCCCATTGCTGCCAGCTGAAAGCGCTCAGATGCTGGTATTTCTCGTTGCTCCTTAGAAACAAACAGGCCTCAAAAATTGTGGAAGCTACATAAAGCCTTGGCTGTCTTGCTGCAAAATGTATGAATCCGGCTTTCTTCGATTGGAGCCAAACGTAAGGCGAAGAGCAAATGATGTGGGTGCAATACTACCACTACCTGTGGGCTTCTTCTAAACTCCCACACTGCCGGCCGCAAACAAGCGCAGGTCATGTATCTGCAATTTTCTTCAACTCCAACAACCTTTATATTCAATGAAACAGTTCATGCCGTTTCGTAGCACTGGGACTGGTGTGGGGCAATGGAATGTCGGCCCATCGTCTTTTTCAATACAGGCACAGCAATTCTCGCGTTTAGGGTTTTAGGACTTAGGGGAGGATTAAGGTCAAAGGTTTAAGGGTTTAGGGTCTATGTCCTAGATCCCTGTCGCCCTTTCGGAAGGGTCCCAACCTGGATTGGATACCTCCGGTTGAGGCATGACTGGCCAAAGACTTAGGGTTCAGGGTTTAGGATTTGGGTAACGCGTAGACCCAAACCCTAAATCCTAAGCCCTAAACACCGAACCTAAAGCCTAAACCCTACATCCTAAAAAACGTATCATGGGGCTATTGAGCCCCCCACCCCCGATAGGGATGATTGGGGATGGTTAGGGTTTGTTCGGCCTTGTGAGCTTGCCGGGGTCCATATTGGGGCCTAGGCCATGGTACTGCTATGAGGCTTAGGGCTCAGGGTGTAATGTAAGGCCCCTTTTAGGAGGTTTAGGGTGTAGAGTCTATGAACCCTGGACTTTGGATTTAGGACTCGGCGTCAGGAAAGATCAAGAATCAAAAGGACAAGGACATGCACCATGAAATTGAGCCTGGTTTTTTTTAGGGGTGCTAGCGTTTTATCCTTATGCCTAGATACCTTCTATGCTATGTACCTTTATAGGCCCAAGAATCCCACAGTAAAACCAATAGAGAATTGCAACCAAATTTTGCGCCAGGTCAACTTACGAGCACGGCTGCAACCATGTTGAAGGTACGGCCTCTTGATGAGCTTCCAGCCCTGCTGCCGTAGCGCCCAGTTTGACGACATCCTTGCCTCGGGGATGTAGCCCCAGGCAGCACTGGTGCGGGCAATGAGGGACAGTTCAGACGCATTGCATGAGGGTGGCCGGGAGGATCCTTGACGTCAACAGTTTGGTCATGATCTTCATCGGTGTGAAGAAGTTGACCATTTGAATCTGTAAAGCAGCCTCCACTTGTTCCAGTGTGACCAGCTCAAGAAGAAAAGAAGTCAAAGCTCCATTCGCAAGCTCACCACGGTCCTTGGGCGTGCATTGCCATGTAAACACCTCACCCAAGCATTAACCCCCGCGCCCCCTAAAAATGGACTTTCCATTTGCGGTATACTGAATAGAATACTCGGAATGTTTAATGTAGGGTGTTTTCCCTTTGTGGCCTACTATTATATGTACTCGGGGGTATCTAACTTTAGAGGGTTGGGGGGGGGCTTCAACATCAGCAATAAACCCTATGTAGGAGCATCCAAAAATACATGTATACATGAGCTACAGTCTAAACTCCTAGTATCCACCTTAATAACCCCTATAGTAGTTCCCTATAGAATCCCCTATAAACCACCCTTCCGCAATTGGGGGGGGGGACTGAGTCAAAGAGGGAGGCGATTAAGCAAGCGAGGTAATCGGGCAAGCATGATACTAGATTAGCAAGTAGTCATGTGGGCATTCTATGTAAGTCTGGTTTAGGGTTTAGGGTCATGTAAGTTGCTGAAAAAAAGCTCTGAATGGCCTACCCTGCAAATGTGATAACGTATAGGGGGTGTCTAGCTTAAGTACTGCAAACTTTACACCCTGACCTCCAAAAGTTCGAGGATATGTTGGTCCTACAAACGATGACACTGGCTACCAAAATCTTCATGCTTCCAAAAGGCCAGAAAAGAAAAGCACTCCTACAGCTCAGTGGCTGAAAGTCCCTAGGTAGGTATTTGGGGGTTTCCCAAAATTAGAGGTACCTTTTTAAAGGGGTTCTATTGGGGCTATATAGGGATGATGGGAAAGAAAATGGATACTACTATTTAGGGTTTAGGGTTTAGGGTTTCCGAAAATTGAAGGTACCTTTTTGGGGGTCCCTATAATAAGGACTATAGTATATTGGGGTCTATATTGGGGTACTAATTTTGGGAAACTACCATATGCAGAAACGCAAATGGTATCTCTGACGGTAACGAAAAGAAGCTTTAGGACACTGCGCGTTTATGGCTTGGCTTGTTCCCTACGTCGCTTTACACTCTAAATCATTCAGCCCTGAA